TTGCCATTGTTGTTAAGCAGTCGAATCTTCTTTGCAATTACGTGTACACTTCAGTGGCTTACTAGAAAACCTGGCGGTCGTGAAAGTTACGGATATAACCAATTGGGGAAACTATTTACAAACATGTTTCAATCTTTCCAGTCAGTCCAACAATAACCGGATATGACGAATTATTTACCAATCTGATGGGCTTTCAAAAACGGGCGTTATTTTAACTGTTTATTTGCTGGAACTGATTAATGCCCAGGTTGCCTATAAAAAGATGAAAAAAAAATCCAATTTTATACTTCACCCATAAAAAATAACGAAAGGACTGTGTTAAGAGGTCCTATTTGCATTTCACATATAATAACAAACTACTTATACGTTTTCAGTTGCACGATTTTAGCGTATGTCGTCAAATTTCGCCAGTATAAGGTCGAATTTCCAGCAATAGGCATCAGTTGCCTGAGCAACCGGAGTTTATGTTGATGGAGTTGTTTACATTTAGATCATTGAAACATTTATAAATGGCTTTAATTTAGGATTATTTAATCACTTTCACCACAATTAAACGTTCAATTACACTCGTTAAACAGGAATAACATGTTTAACTACAAACTATGATAGACAATTGGGCAGGGCAGTTGATATTTTGGCAGCCCTACGAGACAAGTTTGCCAAAAGAACATTTTAATCTAAAATCAAGTTTGGTTAGAGAATAAAGTATCGGAAGCCAGGATCCCAATCAGGAAGGGGTTGTCCAACCTTCAGGTTACGCTTCCATTAAAAATGCCATTGCTGTTGGGCAGTCGAATCTCACTGAGGCCCCCGATTTCTTTGGAATTGCATGCACACTTCAATCGCTTATATAAAATGTTAACGTCGTGAAAACTACGAACATAACCCATTAGTGTTTTCCAGAGAAATATTTAAAAACGTGTTAGACTCTTTCAAGGTAGTACAGTAATCGCCGAATTTTGCGAATTATTATTATTTGACTAGTCTAATGAGCTGTCAATACCTGGATGTTATTGGAACTGATTAATGCTCAGGTTATCTAAAAAATAGGAAGCGTTGGTGGCAAAAGCGATCCCGATCTTATATACCGCCCATAAAAGAAGTCTGTATCTAATAATCAGAATTTGATAGTGGACGGCAGAAGCCGAAGCCGGCCTTCCAATGAAAGATGAATTGCCGAACCTTTGGGTTACGCCCCCATTAAAAGTGCCGAAAAATGGG